GCACAACTTTAAGAACACCAAAACACGAAATTATTGAAGACATGCGTCGAGAGGACTATCGTTGTTTTTAACAGATTATACTTTTGACCTTCCGGCACTGTTGACTCAGCGAAACTGAACTTATATTTTATCTTATTTCGTTATATTAAAACTGCTGTTGCATTAAGTCAAATTCCCAATAAGTCAATTGCTTTAAAATAGACTAAACTTTTAGCCCGGACTGTACTATTTGACTTTCTGGGATTTTTGATCTACAGACACTGCAAAAATTGTAGTTTTTGACCTAGCGGCACAGGTATAAATTATTTGACCTTCCGGGACTGTTGACTTTCTGCAACGCGTCCTTAAATAAGACTTGTTATCAAGGTAGACTTCTTATCGAGGTTTGCAATATAATGTGATGAGGGGCAAAATAAATTCAAGGAATTTGAAAATGAAATTTGTTTGTGATCAAGGGTGACTTGTTATTGATGGTCTTGTTATCGAGGTTCCACTGTATAACTAGTGTTTTGTTTGATTTAATATACCGTAAACAAAAAAAAACTTAAATTGTTCATTAAATGTAAATTTTTTGTTTTTACCGGCAAAATAAATTTTAGGTTGATATAAAAAAACAACTATTCTATTCATAGAACTTTGATGTTGTCTTGTGATTATTTTTAAATCTTATTGTTGATTTAACACAGTTAGGTGTATATATTTAACACAGCCTTATATTTATAAAAACTTTGAAGCGGGTTACTTATGATATTGAATCATTATGCCATGAATCTCTTATTTCAATATGTTTTTAAATTTGACACTTAAACGTTTTTATATTTATATTTCTTGGTATATTGTGTTAAAATGGTAATTGATTTAATTTAAGTTTCCATATCAACATATTGATTTTTCTACCTAAGTGATATACTTTTATACAGGTGCTCGCATATACTAGTCAATATTGTTGGCAGCATGTTATAACTAACTAAATACAGGGTGATTGTTATTTTTAATTTTTAAAATCAGAGATTAAAAAAGATAAATTGTAAATTTAATATAATAGATTTCTTTATCATTGGATAAAAATTTAAACCTCCTATTTTTTATATACTTGATGGGCTTTTAAAAAGTTGTTTTATGTAAAAAATACTTACCAATAGTTTTGCTAACCGTTTTTGGTGAACCTTTTGTTTTTGTTATTTTTGTACAAATTAGTATTGTTCAATGAAATATTTGTTAGCTTTTATTTTCAACCAACTTATCAATTGGACACTATTTTTAACTATTCATTGCTACTCAACAAATAAATATAGCTTGAAACTAAATTTGGAACTAAAATTTTAGGTAGTAAAAAATTGAATGTTTAATTGTTTTCTGGACAAATTCTTTTAGAACTTGTTAATGCCATTTTTTTAATTTTTGAAGTACCAGTTATTTTACTTTAAAAAGTCTCTTGAACAAAAATGTATGATTCAGTTTGTTTTGTTTTGTCCAACAGCAAAAAGAAAAAAAAGAAATCCCTTCTCCCCGCAAAAGACAACAGAAAATATCTTGGTCATTAAAATATTATTCATACATTTAAACGTTTCTAGTAAACTTAAAAAGTACAATTTACCTCTACCTGTAGAATGGCCGAAACATCGTAGATGCTATACACTCTTTAAGAAAGATTAAACTGATTTACAAATAATATAATTTCCAGCATATAAAATTAGAAGATGCTTAGTACAATTGTAGAGTTCCATTTATTCTTCCTTCTATATATTCCCACATTTTAGACTGTATAATTTTAATTTTTTTAATTAAATGCACTTGTCTTCATCCCATTACTTCAAACTATAACTATACCTTATTTTTATGTGTCGGAAAGACTTAAAGAAGCCAAATAAAATATTGTGCGTTTTTATTGGTGCTATTGTTTGAATTAGTTTTGTTTATTTTTTGTCTATTTTTAGATTGACAGATACTGCAGGTAAAACTAGTGAAATTAATTAGTGGCTCAGTGTTTAATCCTAGTTTCATTATAGTAATAATGTAGTATTCCTTAGTTAAAACCTTTTACCGAATCTGAAATGTTTGTATTGCCATTTTAATTACATTTGTTGTAGTTTTTATCAGAGTGTTCATTTGAATATTTGTTAGTCTGCTAATATATGGGTGTATAAATGAATTTACATTTCAACAGTATTACAGCATGATCATCTGCGAAACCGAATTTTTATTTTAGAATCAATAAAATAAGAATTCTATAACAATGTGCCTGTAGAGTACTTTTATGCTTTCGTTATACGTATACTTAAGTGTTATTTCAACATCTTGAAAATATGTTATCAGCTTTTTGTGACGGAATAAATAAGTATTATTAATTGTACTTATTTATTGTATTTATAGTATTGATTTGTGTAGCTACTTAATTATGTTAATTTTATTCTGTCGTCTGAGACTGTAGTTAGTTAATGTTGAATGTTATTTTTAAATCATTGTGAAATGCTATTTTTAAATAGACTACATTTATAAAAAAGTTAAAACTGGGTGTTTATTTGTACATGACCAAACACAGAATTCTCTGTAAATTCACATTTAACTTCATCCTCATGTGTCACTTGGATCAAACCAAAACAATTGATAAGTTTTAAATTATTTAGTTTTGATTATTTTAGATGATTAATAAGATTAATCAAAATAGTCTTACTTAACAGTCAGTGTTAAGGCCCAATTGATATAATCCCAATTGATATAATCAACCCTATGCACTTTCATTGTACTGTAAAAAGAAGAAATAGAAACATATGTTAAAAGAACAACAAAAACAATGATACAAGAATAATGTTGTAGAATAAAGAATTAAAATATGAAGTAAGTGTTACATTTATATCTAACAAAAGTGTATTTAAAATCAAATTATCAAAAACAAGTCAGATTGACCTAGAGTGTACATTTTTCTTGTGAGTGATTTTTTTAGAATGGTTTATATAGAAGATTTTTTAACCCTCCGAGTGTCCCTTGTTTTGGCCTTAATGTCTGCCTATTTTTTGCTCATTTGCAAGGTTTTATTAAAACGGATCTGAGAAGCTTGAAAACAATGTTAATTATACTGTTCTATATACCATTTTGTTTGGAAAATCATGGGCTTCAATATTATACATAGAACATAAGGAACATTTGTTTCAAAAAAATTGTTTAAGTAAAAAAAAAATATTTTGGAAAATGTTCAAAAGAAAAATAAGTTCGCGCTCAATGAAATTGTATAAATTATAGGCCTATAAATATTTGAAAATAGCCACTTTGTTCTAAATTTTATGAGGATTACAAATATATAATAATATAAGGAAGTAGATTTTTAAATAAATAAGTTATGGGCAAAAAACAGATTTCAGTACATAGGCCTAGCGTTTAGCTAAGAATGCATAGCCTAACCATAGCTAGGAATCTGGCTGATAATTTACATCAATAACACTACCTACTTCTTCAGGATCATCAACCAGCCCTTCAAAATCACTTAAATCTTCTTATAATGCACCACGTATATCACTACTTTTGAATTTTAACACTAAAACAATGATAAACGTAATAAAACACATCAGTCATCGGTCCGAGGATAACCAAGCTGTTTACAAATACGCACGTCAGCTGTCTGCTACAATATTTTTGGAACTAAAATGAATAGGGCTTAGAGACAGACCTCCGGAGAAAACTCTGAATCTGTAAAATAAAACGATACCTAACTCGATCCAGTTCAATCCGATTTTGTCAGTCATAGAGCCTTCGCCGTAAACAGTGTTTGTGAGTCGCTGCAGCTACACATAACACACTTTGTGTAGTGTTTTGTGTCGCTGCAGCGACAAATAACACTCGAAGGGTTAAATTGACAATAGATTCAATGTTTCATATTCATGTTCCAAAAAATTTCATTTAAAAAAAAACGCTACATTGGTTCTTTGACACGGTCAGATTTTAATTTCCAGTCCAACGCGTTTGGCCAAGGAGCAAGGGTTCGGAACTCTGAGACGAGGCCGCAGTTTAAAGTACAGTCTGATACAGAAGTATGTTACTACTCCAGGCTCTAGCGTCTAGTGCTAGCGACATAGTGCCAAAATCACAGATATAGGGGTCGAGGTCGTCTTCAAAAAATAAATGAATTTCAAAAATGAAATAAAACTTTGATATCTATTTCCTTTTTTTCATAACCTAACAGTAATACCTATATCTGTGTTTTTGTGCTGTGTCACTAGCACTATATGCTAGGCTTGGGGTAGTAGAGACAAGGAACATACTTCCGTAACAGACTGTATTTTAACCTGCGGCCTCGTGTCAGAGTTCCAACCCCTCGCTCGCGTCGCTAATGAGACTCAACCCCTTGGCAAAACCCGTTGGACTGGAAATTAAAATCTGACCATATCAGAGAACCGACACAACCCAAAAAAGGGGCACCATCCACTCTTAAAGTTTTATTTATACCTTATAAAACTTAAATATGTAATCATTTCTAAGCACTATTTCTAAAATATTGTTGATTCAGTTGTGAGTAAATTTGAACCCAGTATCCTCATTAATTGTAGTTGCATAGTGAAAACATTTTGATGCATTTTTTATATATTAACCTAACCTAGTATTTATATAGTATGGGGAGTGAGCTGGTCTAGTGGTTAGAGCGTGGGACATCGGTCCCCAAAATCCTGGGTTCAAATCCTACCAATTATAAATGGATTTTATCCATGTGATAATGCCGCAACCCTCCTGGAGTAGCCTGAAGTAATGTGAAAACGATCCCGGTGTCAGAGCCTGTCCTAAGATGTAAAGGTTGGACATAAAAAAAGGTATATAAAACATTTTATATACTACCTTTTCAAACATACACCATAGCAAAGTGAGGCAGGGACATTTCTATCTTTATAAGATTAGCATTGAATTAATAACTTGAATTGTTTTGTGAAACTGATCACAATAAGCACAACCGTATAGTAACACTGTACATTAGTGTTTTATTTTTAAAAGGCAAAGGTAACTAAAGGAGACTGTCCAATATATAAACTGTGTTTATTTTATCAAAGAACTTACCAACTATAGTACACAAAATTATGACAAAACAATTATTAAAGCATACTTTTATGATAACAACGATTTAAGCAGTAAAACAACACTTAAAATAACTTTGATTTATTCACAAACTTTCAAACAGTCTCTTATTTTTCTACATTTTTTACATTTACCTAAAATATAAAATAATCACAAGCTGTTAACTATACTACTACAGTGCAAACCAAAACTAAAAAATCCTTACGTACTATCTAAATTTACAATACTAACATTTCTATTTTAACAAGTATCTACATATTTCTAATTACTCACTGGTAAGTTGTACATACAGTAAATCTGAGTAAAGTGCTTTTGATTGAGGCATTACAAGATAATTAGTAAAAGTAATTACTAATTAGACTTTGAATGGGAACACAAAGCTAAACAATATTTAATTAACATTCTAAATCTTGATCATTCCAATTTGCAACACCTTTATGCATTAGGCTTTGTTATTAGGAAAACTTTAAATTTCAGTCATAAAGACGTAACAAATTAGATTAGTTTGTGTTAGAAAACTAAGATTCAGACAATCTTAAACTTCAAAAATCATTTATATTATCTAACATTAACAATAATAATTATTTTAAAAGAAAGATTAATAGAGGAATACCATCAATTAACTGCTATAAGAGAAAATTTTAAGATTAATTAGAGAAAGTAAAAATATGGGGGTTTATTTGTTATAGATCAAATCCAAAAGCTGGTTAAGTGTAATTTTATTACTACAACATAAATAGTTTTCCTCTCCTGAAAATTAACTATTTATTATTAGTTTAAGTTTCTATGTACAGTTCATGAATTGAATACATTTCACTGCAAACTTAAAAATTCCCTCATTGCAGCAAACATGCACTTAGCCTAAATGTGACAACATTATGCTTGATGTTTACACTGCGAGGAACACTCAAAGTTGTTTTTCAGCTAAGTTTAAATGGCCTACCATCAAATAAATATGTTTAAAAAATATAGATAAGATCTGCCTCTGAACAGTTAATCTACATTATTCTCTATTTAAGGGTGGCATGGGAGGCAATGCACTATGAATATTAACACTCTGAAAATCTTGGTAACCAATAGGAGTAGAATAATTAATTAATTGCTTTTTTAACCTTAAGTGAATTATAACAAAGTTTTAAAATTTTGGACACACTGGTAGGTTTTACTATGTCTATGATGGTAGATACTTTCTCCTTTTGGACAATATACTAAGTATTTAAAATTGCCTCATACACTTATTTTAAATGCACAATCCTTTCTAAAGCTAGTCATCTCCTTTGAGATAAGATTCCAATGGGTTTGGTCCTTTTCTTCTTGGGTTTGGTGTAGGTATCACACTAGAATCTGCATAAAAAGAGATTAATTTAATCTACTGGAAATAGTTATTTGTGTATCAAAATGTGTCTAAAAACTAGATGTATAGTTTCTAGATAAGAAACATTCTCTCCATTCGTATGCTTAAGGGGCTGGTGTTATACTAAATTCTCGGTCTTCCGGGGAGAGCCGCGTCAATTTGGTATTTATTTACAAAACCAGAAGTTTTGCTGATGCCATGATGCGGCATTCTCATGTATATGGAGAAAGAATTGTTTTTTTTTAAATTTTCTATTTTGAATTTCGAGTGGAAATATTCGTTTTGGCCCCCCAGAACAAAAAAGTGGTCTTCAAAGTGATATTTGTGTATGTGTGAATGTGTGCAAAAGTACACACAATCCACACCTGTGGTCCGATTGTGATGAAATTTGGTATGTGTGGGTTGGGTTCTAATCCATCATAGTATCTCTGGCATTTTTTGTTTTTTTTTTGGAAATTTTGATTTATAAATGTTGATTTTCCAATGAAAACGTTTACAATTACAGCAAAATTGTTGTTCAAATGTTTTATGTTGTGACTCTAAACTCTCTCCTTTTAACTCTAAACAAAATGGTACAACCTCCTTTGCTGTAAAGGCTATGGTTAAATTTTATTGAAACTCTTGTGATTTTCTCATAAAAAAACATAGTTACTCCCACTGCTTGCCCATGATAATCGATGGAGTTGTTGACAGGCTAAAGGCAGTGGCGGCCTTAAAGATTGCGAGGCCCAAATCGAAGTTCATTTGCGGATCTCTCTTAATACCTGAAATACGGCTGTGCGGAGCCCCAGGCACTTGTTCACCTATATGTGGCCGCCTGTGGCTAAAGGGATAAAGTATCTGTGAAATATTTGCTGACAGCATTTATTTAGTTTGTATTCATCAAAGCTAGTGACATTTTTAAAGTTTTTTTGTGAGGGAATGGTACAAACCCTTTTCTTGTTACTATGTAACGCCAATCTTTTATCAGATATTATTAATTAATAGCCAAAAATGACTAATCGCATCTAATTCAAGAATTAATCACTCTCGGGATCAAACCAGCGATCTTAAGGTTTGAAGATTAGCACTATAACCATCCAGCTACACGGAGAATTGCTTACAAAGTTCTCTTATTTGCCTTAAATCTCCAAGGCCTGAACACACAAATACTCGGTGAAAAACCTTTGCCAACTTCTTAAGCTAGATTTTCCTAGGCAAGCAAGCTAATGGTAATTTAATGGTACTGTTTTCCTAGCGGAATGAATCGCCACTGGATGAGCGGAAATCTCCTCTCTACATTCGGCTTCCTAGTCCGCTCTCTGCACTCTGCTTCTGCGCCTAGGAAAACCTAGATTTAGGGAGATCTGTTTCATACAGCTACTGACCTGCCACTGGTCTTTGAGCGTTCAGGCAGTTCAGCCACTCTGTAAGGCTGATCTTGCGGTCATGGTTGACATCACAATATCTCGGCAACTTCTTCCCACATCTCCGCAGCTTCCTGTGAGACGAGATCATTGACCTGAACGCCTTCCACTCATTCTTCTCCAGAACCTAGGAAGAATAAAATGCAAACAAATTGTTACAACCTTAGGCATCAATATTTGATGTAATATTTTAAGACATTCAAAGGCTGTTGACTACTGAAGAAATCTAGCGACAAATTTGTTTGTCAAAACATATTTGTCTATTCTAATGCTCCTACTGCATTCAGTGAACCAGTTATACAAAATGATCACGTATTTTGATAAAAATATTTGTATGCATTCGTCTAATAGTTCTTGATTCAATGCTACGGTACAGTATAAAATTTTGCTGGATTTTTGTATCAGTTTGATGGATTTAGTTGCATATTCATTATTCAACCACAGCCTCCACAAGGTCGATTCCCCCTAGTCTATATTGATGGACGCCCATGAATGATAATGGAAAACTAGTCTAAAATATGTTTTAAATTGTGTGATATCCTATGATTTTAATTTATAAAATTTAAAATGTATATAACAAACTATAATTTTTCTGTGAACAAATCTAAACTACTCTTACCTTATTTTTATTTGTATCCAGAGCATTAAAGTTCCATGAAGCGATTTGTTCTTCTTGTGACATATCCAATACATCCTTTATTGTGATGTTACTGAAAAAGATTTGAGTGAAAATAGAGAACATAAGGTGTTGCCTCACTGTAAGGCAGATCAGTCAATATGTTTTAGAAACATTTTTTTTATAATAAAAGGCAATGGTACAAAAAACTCATCTAACTTCAATGTGTGATAAAACCATAGTTAATGCTCAACTTTTTTATTGTGTAGCATTATTTTTTTATCTTTTAAGCAATAGATGATTATGCTATGGTAAACATTAACAGATTGAAACCCCTAAACAACACAGACGACTACACCAGCTTTAAAATTTTCAAATTGATCTACTTCATTGAAACTAACAAAACCGGAAACACAGCAACAAACTAACACTACAGAGAATAAAGCATCCGCCCGGTCATAAACCTGAAAAGACCCTACTCTCAACCGGCCAATACAAGAAATGAAACAATGAAACAGAAGTGGAAAGACTGTCTGCGCCTCACCCGTTCGGTTCAATTGCGATACGAGTGAATAGTGTAAATATTTGGTGTAAACAGACAATTCACTTCTAGTCTTAATGTTATAGAAGATATGAAGATAGAGGACCCCTCAAGATGCCACACAAGCCTGCGAAATGTACAACATAGTTTTGTTTTAATACAAACCCCTACCTCAAGAACGAAGACAACCAAATAAGGTAGGTATAGTAAATTTTAATTTGATGTGTTAGTACTTAGCAAGTAGTAAATATTGACTGTCCTATTTCTGTAACATTATATCAATGAAATAAAGACTCTTGACCACTCGCATACTTTGCAGAAATATTTCTAACGGAATTCATAATTCATTATGTGCGATGAACATAACCTCTACGAATCACTATACTAATTACTGCATTCACTTATTTGACAGATAATACTGTGTTGACAGTCAACAGATCATAGCGGTCAGCGCTCCTTGTGGCAATAGTTAAAACTACTGTTTAGACAGAGTCCCAAACGCCCTACATCTATTACATTAGAGCTGGCGCAGCGCTGTGATTGGTCAAATTTTTACATGTAGTTTATATGGGAGTTTTGACTCATATCTACGGAGTCCCCGTGTACTACCTGTTGCAAAAACATGTTGCGTCCATCATCACCTGTCCTAAAAAATTCACCCTGCTAATATGCTACATTCAAATGCAGGAATAAAAATCAAATTTATGTTATTTATTATTATTTTTAAAATTGTCATGAAAATGAGAGGACTCCGTCCCAGAGTCCTTATGGACCACCGCCACTAGATTTTCCAAAATAAAAACCATACCATAATAAATCACAAGAAACACACTACTCTATTTCCAAATGTATTTTATGTCATAGACACAAAAAAATAACCGTTGTCAACTAATCCCCCGACTTACCTTGACTTTTGAGTGGCCATTGTGTGTGTAAGGAATTCAAGCAACCCTTTGAGAAAAGCTTGTTTTCGATGTTCAGGACACCCTAAACAAATCAACTGTTTTAACATTGGCTTTAACATGAAGGTAATTTGTCAAAATCAAAATACACAATAAAAGTTTTCCCCTTAACATTCCTTTTTCAACCATCCTACTTACTTATATGATAGGTTACGTACCGTCTCCAGTCTTTAATATAGTCAAGGTAAGGTAAGGACTGGAGACGGATTAAAAAGGTATGTAACCTATCATTTCATTCGTACATCAGCAGCATTATGTTCATCCTACTTAAGCGATTTTTACGATTACAGTGTCAATTCAAAGCTTATGTCATAGTGGAGGGAAGAACGAAAATTTGCTTTCAAAATTCAAGAATGCTGCTTTAACGGTTTAATTGTAAATTTACATGTAAACACCTGATCCTTCAGTAGAATGTTTTACCTCAATCAGATTATAAACAAAGAGACAAAATGGTTTTGATATTTGAAAAGTAAAAGGATATTGCATTATTAATTTTCCTCTTAATCAAGTTTTGAACCAAACTGCACAATTTTCTTACGGGTCACCATTACTTTTTATTGTGACTAAAACTTGACATTTCCACATAAAAATGGTTGTAACTTTTAGTATGAATTATAATATTATAAATATTAATAATTAACTAAGTGTATTATAAATATTAATAATTAACTAAGTGTACTTGTTGCTCGAATTCGAGCAATTGCTAAGTATTACAGGCGTTATTTTAAAACGAATAAAAGTCATGATTTCTGATGAATTTAAAATATTCAATGCAAAGATTATGGAAATACTCAAGATGTACATAACAGATCGATATAATCAAAATTTATTATAAATAGTGTTTTCTACAAATATCCTTACTCACAGCCGCAATTGGTTTCCAGACACATTATGTGTCCAAAAGCCTAACAGCACGACTCCCTTCCCCATACCGCCCTGAGCGATAGGGTTCATTGAGATTCGCTCTAACATTTCCTTTCATGGGCAAGTTTTCATTCATTTTCTTTCTTAGTTTTTGTTTGTTTCTTTTTTAAATTTTAACACCTATATGTATCCCTGGTTTTTCCTATTTCCATAGCTACTTTTCTAAACGTCTTAATTGATTCCTTATTGTCACTCATCATGTTTTGTTTTCTCATCTCTCTAGATCTCTCTTATCCAAGACTTCTTCCTGTTCTCTCGTATTCAGGCGACTTTTGGAGAGCACACTTTAACCCAACACGGAAGGGTGCTTGCTGTATTCGGCTATCTACGACAATAGTATTATTTGTATTTCGTTCGTGTCTACCAGTTTAAGTTTGTCGACCTCCTCCTATTGGCCATCCTGGTCAACGTCTTATAGTCTCCATTATACCGAGCGTTTTTTGGTTATGTTATGATTTTGTGCAAAATTTTAGTATAACCAGCTGCTTCAAATATTAGTGTCAATTTCAAAGTATTCATCTGTTCAAATGTAAACAAACATTTTCTCCCTAAGAATAACATGGGAAACTTTGAAGGCCACTGTGGCAGAGCCCTGATGGAATTCCACAGTTTTTTGTTTGATGTCAAAACTACATGCTAAGACCTTTCTAACGACACCTTGGACATGGTGATCGGTAGCACTAACACTCCAAAACAATTATGACAAAAATATGCCTAGCGTATTAAATATATACATCTATGCACTGTAAAATACTAATTCGGTAGGTACTTAAAAATAAAAAAACGAGATATTTTTAAATTAGTAAGCTAAGGCAATTAGACCAGCACCAACAAATTGATGAAGTATAAGAACATTTTACCTTTCATGGGTCGAGACACAGGTTGTACAGAGTCACATTTAGGGTGGTTGTCCTTGACAGATGTGCCGGGTATTGTGGTACCAGAGTCTTCATTGACACACCAACAATATCCTGGAAAAGAAACGTTTCCTGAGAACGTTTAATGAGTCATATGTATGAATCATTTTTACACTCCCCATACACTTTATATACCTATGGAAAAAAGTATTGTTTTTTCAACATTTTCAAGTTTGAACTTTGGTTGGGTATATCCATTTTGGGTCCCTCTGAACCCAAATTAGTGTTTTTGAAGCGATTTCTACAGACCACAGTTGTAGTCCGATTTTGATTTGGTATGTGGGTCAAAAACAAATTGATCCATTGTATCGCCAGTTGTTATTTTAGTTTTTTGAAATTTTGATTTTTAATGGAGATTTTCTCATAAAACCCATAACACTATGGAAAAATCAAATTGTCACAAAAACGGCCCAGACAATTTGGATTAAAATCTGGTGTACGTATTGAACTGTACAGATTACAGTTCAAAAGTTGTTATAATTTATGTGATTTGTCCATAAAAAACCAATAAATGGACAGATAAATTGTATTAAAAAAAAAACGGCCTAAGAAGTTTTTATTAAAATGTATGCATTTTTATGATTTGGATCAAAATGGTACAACTCCGATTGCTATAAACATTATGGTTAAAAAGTTATTGCAAATTTTGTGAATTTCCCAGTGGGCGGTGCGGGGGGGCCCGCGAGCTAGAGGGGCCCGTGAGCCTTGAGCGAAATTTCGGTAAATTTTACCGGCACACGGGCCCGCGAAGGTGGCTATGATAAGACATTTCATATCATGTCTTACTATTAGGAGGCTGCCCTTTAGATTTGTCTATTTCGCACTTTAGATGTGTTTACAGAGTCAGGTAAATATTCTTACTTACCTTTGGCCTCAGGCCAAATCAGATCGGTTCAAACGGTTGATTTTTATAATAGGCCTATAATGTCGATTTTCGAGCCGAGCAGAGCCTGGACTACAAGCTTGAGAGATCAAGCACAAAGTCAGAAAATCAAGCTCGAGCCGATTTTCTCAGTATTGAATACAATAATGCACAATTAAAAGTAAAAGCTTTTATATCCGTGAGGATCACGCTTACGAAATTGAAAGATTAGGCCTATGCTTTTGCCGCGGTCGCGGATATCGACGAGAACATTTCCCCGCGGGTGACGATGACGATGTCTCCGCGGCCGCAGATGTTCAATATTTTGCCGCAATTGCGGAAGACGATAATGACGTTTCTTTTTTAGCGAGAGATATATCTAGGATTTAGCCACGATTACGGAAAAATTATTTACCCGTCACCACCGACGCGACGGGTTGCGGGGAGATATTAGGCCGTGATATTAGATTGGGCCGTGAACGCGGGAGACGATGATGCTGCTATCTAATGATGTCATAGGGTTGGTTGCGTTTGCAAATCACGGTAAACTATGATAATGTTTCTTCCATGACTTATGACTACGGGAAGTATTTTTGATTTTGCCGTGATCATGGAAGACGATAATGACGCCTCGGGAGATGCCTTGTCAAGTTTATTGCAAAATTGCAAGTTTAGACGGTAATACATGGGAAAATGTTTTTAAAGATCATTGGGAGAGGGGGCCCGGTGAACAAACTTGCGGGGGGGCCCGTGGGTTCTTATCGCCGCCACTGGAATTTCCCCATAAAATAGTATAGTTACTACAACCGCCTACCCATGATAAAGGTTGTTGACAAGCTAACGAGAGAAGTATTTGTGTCAGATTGCTGATAACGTTTATTTTAGTATTTGATCATACTGTGACTGTGTTAGAGTGAAATCCTGCATTATTAAAAATGTCTAATGAGATTATTAATCCAAATTAAATTAAGTGTTGTTGTCAATGTATAACCATTTGTTTAACCAATAATGGTAAGATCTTCAAGTATTATGGCAATTTAGAATGTACATTTAAAGGTTCCAAAAGCAGCAAACATAACACTCACCGGTAGATTTGTAGCATTGCACCTTCTGATATCTTCCGTCTGTTGTGCACTCTGGAATATACATCTCATTGTTGTTGGTCTTCATCTCGTCGAGAACAGCCTGACGATCTGTCAAGCAGTCACTACTCACTGGAACAACCACAAAGCTCTGTGAATGTTAATTTACATTGATGTTTAGATATGTTGACCACTAGTTTGTGGCAGCACCGCATAATGAAAGCCATTGGTGATATGGACCAGGGCTATCCCCAGGGGGGGATTGGCGAGCTGGTCTAGTGGTAGAGTGCGGGACTTTGGTCCCTGAGGTACCAGGTTTAAATCTTGCCAGATCACTATAATGGATTTTATTTAAGTGATAAAATAATGCTGTAATCACTATGTTTAGCCTGAAGTATAACGTGAAAAATGATCCCGGGCTACTACGTAAAGATACTATTTTGTCTGTGGGATGAACTATATTTTTTCTCATATCCTATTCTCTCTTCGTCTACAACGGACCCAGTTCCAACCAGCTCATACATCTCACCAAATGTTTCAGAACCTCGGCCAAGTCGCGCATCACAGAATGAAAGTAGAGAAATAATTTAAAATCTTATGGCCGAGCAATATGATAAACAACAGGCCGATCATCTTGAGCAGGAGCGTTGAGAAATCGCTGGCTTGACGTTTGACATTGGCCAATGAGCATTATCATTTTCTACGAGCAATGCTCGGTCTCTATAGGTCTTTGCAACATTATTTAAGCAAACTTAGAAAACAAAAATAGTTTTCATTTAAAGATAACCTTTTAAAATGACTTCTAAACTGTTTTTAATTTTACTAATGCAAACAGCTGATTAAATTAATTGATCAATATTTTGATACATTTGTGATTGCTTACAATCAAAGTTTACAAGTAACTGAGTTTACAACAGCTGAATTTTACTCCCTAGGGAAAGAGTTATAGGTCGGCCGCTTAGAAAACGACCTCCTCCAGCATTGGTTTAGCATTAGCGCGCAGGTCGTTTTCTAAGCGGCCGAACTATAGAAATGTTTTTATGAACTTTAACTGGACTCTGCAGCTGTTCTTGATTATTGTGCTTTTAAATGCTCTTTGTCTAAGAAACAGCTGGTCTTAGCCAGTAATAAAGCAACACAAGGCACCTTATTTGTTCTACAATCATTTTTCACTCATTTGTGTTAAAACACAACTCATTCAGTAATGTAATGTAATTTGGTCAGTTACCTTCCGTTTCCTCTTTCCGGTCCACCGCATCCTCCCCGTAAGGCAGTTGTCCAGTCAAAGAAACAACACTTTCCTGCAACACTGGCCTCACTCTGTCAAAAACTGATCAATGTCGCTCCAGACCTTTCAGTAGTTATACTACAAAGAAGATTACCGTACACATTTTTCTGTGCTTTATATTTCATAACCACAAGTTGTTGGAGTAGGTTAAAAGAGATTAATATGTAAATTGAAGCAGAAAGAAGAAATCAAATAGAAAGAAAAGAGTAGACACTAAAGAGAAACTTAACAAAATATTACTTGTTAGTCCAGATATAAAACGTAACTATACAAGAATTGATCTAACAGATTGAATTTAAGGATCTTATAGTAAGCGTAGGAATAGTTCTGCAAACAAAGTAAACAATTAAGTTGGCAAAAAGGTTTGCTATGCAATTTTTGAGTTACCTTCACAGAATAACATCATATTTATTACAGTTTCAAAAAGCTATTCTGAATTCTGAATTATTGAAGGTACCCAAGCAGTTTTTAACGTCTAGGCAAACCTCTAGATTTACTACTCATAGTACTCGGAAGATTTAAAATTGTCAGGGTAGCCGAGTGGTTATAGTGTTCGCATTCAAATTTGAAGGGGGCAGCTTTAATTTCAAGCAAGACCGTTATACCTGACCCAGATGCCATTTTTCAATTAATGATGCTTCCTAATGGGTAAATCGATGTTTGATATTTAAAAACCCCAGAATTTAGACTGTTTCCTTACAAAAAACGGTACTTACGTATTATACGGAGGCCACTTATTTTACAGCGCGCTGCGGCGGTTGGGTTATCATGAATATGTTTGTAAAACTTTCCTAGTTTCGTTATGAATCGAACTATACGAGATGAGTCATAAAAACTTATGATAACCCAACCTAACCTAACCGCCGCAGCGCGCTGTAAAATAAGTGGCCTCCGTATAATACGTAAGTACCCAAAAAACATTAATAAATGCTATTAATATATGGGTTAGATATAGGTACCGTACAATAAAGAGAAGACAATATTAACAGATAAAAATGATGCCTTCTTATCAGTGGCGCTTAACTTACAGCCGAAGGGGGGGGGGGGCAGATATTTCGTATTTATATGTCTCAAGGTTGATCATTCTTTTGGTTTTTTCAAATGTCTCTAGTAAAATCTATACTTTAGTTTTCTAACAAACAACAATTACTTTTGCTTTCCCTGCTATAAAGAATAAACATTTTTATTTAGATAAATACCACAGGGTCCTTAACTAAACTATGTAGACTTATTGGATGAAAAAAAAAATATTTTTAAAAATCAAGATGTATGATTGTATTGATAGTGATTCTAAATTTCCCTATAAGTTAGCTGACATTATGTTATGTTAGCTGATATATTTACATCACATAACCTTTAAAACTTGTATTCGCTCAACATTCTCACCTCCAAAATGAGAGTCGACTGAGACATCAAGTTCTTCCTCCTCCTCCCCTGCTGAGCTCAGCGACAGAAACAAGCGAAAAGAGACTAAATAAATTATAATGTGGAGCCTCCCACAGATAATACTGAGTGGAAGAAGTGAAAAACAACCACAAGAACAGGTTAATGGGAAATACAGAAACATGCAAACAGATGGAGATTATAGGTTATGTTAAGGTAGCTGAAAATGTGAAGCAGATTATGAGGGACGTTATGAGAAAGGAAGTATACAGATTATAGCCAACAACTTGTGAAATGTTATCAAAACTTATCTTAAATCAATATAAAGAATACATTGAAACACTTATTGTATAAAAATGGATGCACATATAAATACAAATCAATAATCATAAGTATGCTAAGTAGAATACTAGCATGAACATCGGAACATGTTGAATACTTCAACATGTTCAACACTTTGCAAACAATTCACTTGCAGCTTTTCAAAAAAAAATTTCAATAGTTTGTAACTTGTAGCAATTCTACAGGATTACAAGCTAGACCAACTGGTGAATAATTCAATTTAAATGTTGCAACAGCTACCTGGAAAACATATTTTTCAACACAGGCATAGACATTTACTATTTTTTCTATCAGAATTTTAATCCGTCTATAAAAACCTTTCTAGTTAATACGTTACTTTGATACCAAAGTTTTAACCACACAAAGCTTATAATCACAGCTGAAAGTGAAAATATTGAATACGCTTTTCCAATTTTCAAACTTATCTACAGCGAACTGATGTTCAACCGAAGAATGTGACCTCTTCTTTGTTAAACACGCTGTGTTGTTTGGTTCGCGGAAGGAATGTAACATCAAGGTTGTCGGTTTTTCAGCGTGATTAATTAGGTGTTGCACAACACTTGTGAAGCGCCGGCTTCATAGGAACTAATTTTGGGTCAGAGTTGACAGAAGTCTGACCTCTGAAGACTTTGACTTCTCTGATAAATCAGCTGACATTCGATCATTCCATTACATTGATTTATACGAATAATTGATTTTTTCCGGTTCTTGATTAAATTATTGTTTTCATGTTTGTATCTCCCCATGGGGCAATTATAAGGTTTTTAACCTGTGTATTCGTACTTACGATTCATATCAAGACCTAGACATGTCATCCACTCTGGTTTAGCAATGTTGGTATCCCTGTTGAGATCACAGTTGCGGGAGAAGGCACGTGCGCATCTTTTAGGTTTGACAACCTGTAAAAAAGTTGTTTGTTATTTTTTTGTGTTCTATTTATTTGGCAGATGAATCACCAAATTGCCAAACAAAGATATAATTAATGTCAATTTCAGTCTGTTGCAAAAGGAAATTAATGTTTGAATTGGTTTGATTTCAGTCGGAAGGCCTGTCCAAGACATTGAAGGAGAGGAAGTAATTTTTTTACTGCATTTTCAACCATAATTTCATGGTTTGTTTAAGAGTTGTAAACTTTCTTGTTATGTTGAAGAGGTGAACGAAGTATTATTGAATCTGACTTCATAGTCTAATCTAAATTTAAATACCCCCACCGCAGCAAACCTGCAGACTAAGCAAATTTCCATTTATACCTGGCTGGATTTCTACTAAAATATACCCTTAAAAATGTTCAGATTTATTTCCTATTTAAATAACATTAATTTTAATGAGTAGGTACTTAAGTTAAAAAGAAAACAAACTAACCTGTCTCACAAGCTCTCGCAGTCCCCAGTATTCATTCCGACTCAGGATGAGATCTCCGTTAACGTCTAGAGAGTTGAACTTCCACTCCAGCACACGACGATCCGTCTCAGAAACGTCTTCAGACTCTGTCAAATATTTTGCTGATTATCTTCAACCAGAAATATATATGCTTCTTTGTATACCGTATTTCATATTATTACGTACTTTCTAAAATATTTTTGATCGTAATGGAGCTAAGTAAATTAAATTTTTTATAAAATTTAGCTATTCAAGATCATGATTTTTAGTTTTTGGTTCTAAGCCAATATCAAAACAAAAGTAAGTTAATGTACAGTCAGTAGACAAATAAGGTGATAGATTAACTTGGAACATTAACAGCTTCTGAGTTTAATGACCATCAATGTTTATAAACTAAAAGACGATGAGGAGTCACTTTGTTTTTCATACTGAACACTTATGTTGAAAAACAATAAGGTGGAATCTCTGAGATAAATTTAAAAATTGTAATTTAGTTTTAACATGGACAAATAGAATAAATATAGACCGACAGCAGTGCTGCGGTTAGCATATGTTCCGTCATCCACCGCTAGGAATGCCGTGTAGTAACAGCGTACAGTTCTGCAGCGTCTGCTGGTAGCATTTGGCTCCTCGCCTGCAGCGGTGTGCGCAGTAACTACACAGCACTCCTAGTGACACATGCGGACAGTCTATATTTATTCTATTTGTCTATGGTTTTAAGTATGAAAAAAATATTTCAATTCATGGCTTATGTTTAAAGGTAATCCTCAAGAATTTTGTAACTGTACAACATTACACCAAAACAGTCTAAATACGTTGTCAAATTATCAATTAATTAATCACTGAAGATCACATGCAACAGGTTTACTACTCTTTATCTTTTCTTCCAGCGATTGTTACTCGTACAATAAACATTCCTATGACTAGACATAACAAACTAACTGTGGTAGGAGGAAATATAGAGCATTTTCATCAAGTTGATGGGTCTAGGACAATGACAGACAATTGTTTAAGTGGTCTCGGTCCACCCACGTTCTCTGCTCGGCTTCCTCATTCCCAGCTTAGACTTTGATTACGACTCTCACGCCTACAATCAACACAGTTTACTATCTGGCAAATTGCTAAGTGGCCGAGAAAAGTCTAGCTTAGTCATTTGGTAATTTTTTTTGTGCTCAGCACTTTTGTAGCCTGAGAGAAACTAGGTTTTCAATTTTATTTTAGCTTTCTTTTCATGCGCTGTTTATTATTTCAGTAATTTAAACAGGTAATAACAGTAATCAAAAGTATTTTTTTAGGATTCTATTTTCTTTTGCCAACAACACAACTAATTTTTTATATGTTATAAAAATTCAAATTAATTTGGATGTGTTTAATTTATAAAATGTATATAAAACATTAAATTTGAAATAAAAGCATTGAATATAGTTAGTTGATTGTAGCTATTAAAGGATCTACCTGACATTTTGTCATTAGAGCAAATTTCAAATACTCTCTGTCGACTCTTCCATGAATATTAGGATAAGAAGGTTTTTTGTCAAGTATTTTATTAGCTTTGTGAGGTGGTTACTTTGACTCTGTATCGCCATGCACTCAGCATAGCAACGCTGGTGGCGCTGCCTACCGATTGACAGGCAAAGCTCTCTCAAAACACTTAATGGTTTTTACCATGCGGTTGGCATTCTGAGTAGTATGTTTTCTGTGCTCTAGTGTATTTCAAGTTACCTAAAGCAGGTAGCATGCCCACCATAACTGGCATTATTAGTGAATAAATAAGAACTTACTGTTGACAACCATGTGTGGTTGACGGTTATATTCGTTACGGAAGATTTTTACCAAGTTGCTGACAAATGTTGATCTGTCAATTCTGGAGCAATCTGTAACAAAAATTTGTAAATATCAATCTAATATAATAGCAATTGACAATACTCACTATACCCAATTGGCAATACAGTAGAACCTCAATACCAAGACTGTCACGGAAATTATTAAATAAGACTTAATTGTTATCAAGGTTGACTTCTTATCGAAGTACCACAATAACGATTAAGGGTGAAATTAATTTAAGGGAGATTTGATAACAAGGGTAATGTTCACTAGTTATAAAGGGTGACTTGTTATTGAGGCTCTTCTTATCGCTGATAAATATTGTGCCTAATAATCGCCTCAATTAAGAAGAATGTTTATATAATTTCCTGAAGAATAAATTGATTAAATAAAAACACAACAGCTTTATTACATTTACAAAACAGTTAAAATATTTAAGTTTAATATTTGGTTCAAGTTTTGTTTTATTACAAAATTGTTAAGATCGGAAGAAAATGTTTTAAAATAATAAATGGCATTGTCTTCGTTACCTGCTTTGATATTTAAACAAATTGTTAATGAGTTATACAAAGTTGTTGGCTTTAGTAACAAAACAAGTTAAAGTTATGGTGATTTCTTCTTCTAAAAAATATTAATAAAATAAAATTTAGACTATCTTGGTTACAGAAGTTTAATTATAAGGCTTTTTTTACTTTGTTAACTATTTTAACTTTCAGAGTATTTTTTAGTTTGTTTGTCTGTTATAAATCAAAGCCAATTGAGTTAAACCAGTATTGTATTTTTCATTATGGCCCAAACAAAAGCATAAACTTTATTAATTTATAAACTTGTATTTACATTTTTTTAAGTGTGTGTTTTATTTAAAACAGTATAACCAGTATGATTCTGAACTTTTACACAACCATCATACTGCTCAATTAAAAATCTTAACACAAAGGTTACAAAATAAAAGTCATTCACAAAACCATCAACCATTTTTGAACGAGGATGCACCATGCACCAACACTTACACAAAGCCAAAATTACAAAATTACCTTTTTTATGTTTATTTTCTCTTGGGAATGATCCTCTTCTCATTTTCCCTAAACACAAACCAAAGAGTGAAAAATGTTCTTTTAAAATGTTTTATTTACTCAAACATGAAAAAAATCCGACTGTAATGTTGTAATTTGTATATGATGACCTGGTTATTGTCTAACCCTTCTCAAATTGCCAAAAAAATATTCAAGAACCTGTAATTCAATTTATGAAATACAAATAAGATGAACTATTGGTGTACTGTATTAAAGTTTTTCACGTTTAATTTTGAGGGAATAACAGTGTGAAGCAAATTGTGAGTTAAAATAAGTTTAAAACTTTGAAATAAATGCATTAAGCTAATTAACATGAAAAGTACTTGGTAAATTAAGTAAAGCACACATAATAAATGTTTAATTTTTTACAAACCCTAGTTTTACAAAATATTTTATTTGGATTAACTGAATTACATGGTAAATTTCTAGCTCTGATAACTGCTAGAAAAGTCTTGATAGAAACATGATTCATACTTCAGACCCCTCAAAAAACATGTGGCTGCGAAATTAGCACGCGGTTTGGAATTTGCGGCGCCGCAGGTTTTTGTATCAACTGTGGTGGTGAGCTAAGTGCTGCCAACCATAAATGGTCCACTTAAACCAGGGGATGGAGGAGGGACAGTGCCTTTGACCAACTGCAAGGCATACTTAATGGGAAACTATTTAGATCCAAATAAATGAAAACTACTTAAATAGACTTAATAGAAACATTAATTTCACTAGTCAGTCCTGTAGCAGTGACTGGGGAGGGTGATAGCACTGACAGTGGTTGCAGCCTGCATAAAAGCTCCCATAAGACCTAAGTACCTACAGCCGCAAAAAAAACTGCGTTTCCTAGGTCTACCTTTTTATTGCCTTGTGAGGCACAAAAGTTTGGACTTGCGGGCCGCAACTATTGTGCAGGCCGCACTGCAGTGCATAAAACATCCATTTGAGTCAATGTACTTATAGAACCGCATTGTGGATGAGTTGTTATAGAGCTCAACTGACAACCAGAAGGTTGCTAGTCCGATTCTGAAAGGACAATGCAGATTTTTTATGATTCCAACTGAACCTTGGTTATCGTGTTTTTAAATTTTTTAAATTTGTTTCTGGGTGTTTCTACGCCAGTGGCATTTTTTATGTTTTGAAAGGGAACTGTCCAAACCCTGGTCTTATTACTACCTAACGTCGACTATTTGTTAGATAGCATCATTAATTCCTAGCACGATGACAAATGGCATCTGGGTCTCTGGAAACTATCTCCCTTAGAATCGAACCAGCGACCTTCAGATTTGAAGGCAATCACTATATAACCACTCGGCTACCCAAAAAAATTTTTAATAATTGGTCCACTTAAGCCAGCAGGGGGTGGAAGAGAGAGACAATGCCTTCGACCTACTGCAAGGCATACTTAATTGATAACTATTTAGATACCGGTACAAATAATTGAAAACTATTTAAATAAACTAGAATACAGAACTACTTAAATACAATAGAAAACTCACCAGATGCAAATAATAGAAAACTACTCAGATACACTTTATTGAAAACTAATTAGATGCGGTTGAAAACTAATTGGATGAATTTAAATGACTTTGATGCATGTGGTTGAAAACTACTACGTTTGGTAACTACTTTGAAACACTAAATTGAACTATCAGGTTTTACCCTTCCTGTTGCAGCGAGGTTTGGCGTGACGGACTGAAGTGTTGGGTATCGGCTCCCCCTGGGCCGTAACACACCAGCAGTAGCCTGTACGAGCGTGACACTGTACAGGGGCGTAGCGGCCGTCCGCTAGACATCGGGGCGTGAACCCTTCCGTGACGTTACCTCGGAGACCAGCGGCCGTTCCCTGGCCTAGTCCCTGGTCACTCCAGCATGGCTGCTTCTCTGCAAACAAAGTTTAGGCTCTGAGACTTTGATTCTCCGGAAAAGGTTGTTACAAGTCATATGATAAATACAATTTTCTCTTTAAATGGTCACTAACTCACTTTTTATTTAGAGAAGATTACTGAGCCCTCCATTCTTTGATCACTGGTCTTTCAAAAAATGACTCTGGCTATTCTGGTTGTGAGTCAGATATTAGTCACTATCAAGTATGTCTCATCCAACACTCATCCTGCACTGATATTCTTCACTATAATTTCCACTATAGTTTGTCAGCATATAAAATGCAACCAATCCTCTAAATTTGACAGTGGAAATGCAGTGTACAGAAACTTATCTCTTCGGAGAGCATTTCTTGTATTTTTACTTGTTATAAGAAAAATGTCAAACGCTGAAAATGTTTGTCGTGTTGCTTTTTGTTGTACTGGCTTTGATGACAATTTGATTAGTGAAATCAGAAAAGACAAAAAGGAAAAGTCAATAGCTTTTGGCTCCTCGTAGATTTTGATTAAGCTACCTCAAATAGCTCAAATTCACTGAATTAAGTGTAGGTCTACAAGGGGGAAATATTGGAGGATTCTTCAATTCAGGAATCGTCTTTTCATATTTTAAATGATTTAATCAAAATCAATAGTTTTAGAAGAATAAGGTCAACAATATGCTCAATATGCAAAGTTTTTTGATAACAATAACGATACATGTACCAGTACTTAACTTGGGTACAATATTGTACTTAAACAATAATCAGATATTATGCTTATCAACTTCTCTATTGCAAATACTATATGTTTACTAGCTCACCCCAGAGTGGCTTTGCTCACGAAAATTTAAGTTAAAAATATGTGAAGTTAAACTAAGAGAGAACTTCTTCATTAACATCAACTTAACATTAACTGTCCTTCTACCAGGAGCTTCCAACTGCTCACTCTGAAACCCAATCCATGATATTTTTGGCCAGCATACAATTTAATACTTTACTTTAATACTTTTAATTGAAATGGCGACCATATGAAGTTAGGTTCCTGCTGTATCTTTTTCACATAGGTTTACCGCTTAAACCTAATTTTTCAATAGTACTGTCAATAGTAATAACTTTATTGAGAAGTATTATATTGGTAAAAGTAACATGAACAAATTGTACAATGTTTTATTGTGGTTCTTATAGCCCTCATAGGTCATAAACAGTTGCAGATCTACAGTATCTATGACGTTTTCGCCAAGCGGAATGTACTCAAATAATTAGTTTTCTCACCTCTCCAGCAGTAAAAGCAATTTTAACACACTTGATAAGATTTTTAAAATGTTATGTAATAAAACACAAATTTTTAAGCCACCCAATATAATGCAAATATTTTCATTTCAACCAAATAAAATACAACCAGCTGTACCCTTAGTTAAAATAGTGTAAAATTCAAAAATACTCATCATGTTCAAATGAAAACAAATCCTTTATCAATAAGGGTGGTACTTTAAAGACCACTGGGGCAGACCCCTGATGAAATTTCCCGAAAACGCTTCTTATTGCACACCTATAGAGCTTAGTTTTAACCTCCATTCCAATTCATGAGTTCTTAGCTTGTAGTTTTTATTAGTGATCAGTGAGTGGTATTTGCCTTCTATAGATTGAGTTGTAACAATGCCAACTAGTGATATAGAGAAAATCTCAGAGCTTAAAAACAATATATATATACTTTATTAGGCCTACCAACAGCGAAGAAAGTTAATTTGCTTTCACTTTTCACTATGTTCAGGCATCTAGTCAGAAATACTCAGCTGTTCAGCTCTGAGAAAGTTGCTAAAGCTAGGAAGCAAGAAAGGAATGTATAATAACTTAACTAAGGCTACGGTATCTGGAAAAGTTGTCAAATCCATTGACAAGCTAGGGTAGGGAACCGCAGCAATCAAGACAAGTTTTTTGATATTTATGTACATTGTGCAATGTAGAATCTTAAGGGGATGAAAGACCATAGAAAACGATTTTCAAAAGAAGAATGTGGTCATCTTTATTTTGACCATCAAAGCATATTCCTTGATTGTGTTTAGATTACGAGAACTTGACAACCACAAACAAATAAATGAAGATGGCTCAGGTGTTTACCAAAGAGTAGTAGACAGGACATAACACGCCTATGTCTTATTTTATTCAAATACTCTATGCATAGGCCCTATTTATGTTACGTTTGACAATGTAACTACCTCTCGGGTCACAAACCAGAACCTGATGGATTAGGTGTTGCTGGAAGAGTCGAAGAGTAATTGGGGAAATCGAAATCAGTCGCAAAAAGTCAGAGTGGAGTGGACGCAGGTGTCCGGAGCACAATGGAACCGCGCTAATTTAGGGACGACACGAGCGGAGCAAAAACCTCTCCGAGCGGGGGAGTGTTAGAGGGGGGGGGAGAGAACCTGTTATCTTCAAACAACGTCAAGTCAAGGACGAGCCCGGGCTGTGGCGACCGGCAGTCTGGGAGAGCTAGCATTGTTTACCCTTGTGGGATACTTACAAAAAATAGGATCTTTTGGGTCTCTGTGGTATAACATGGGGTTGTGTTGTGAGGTGATTTTGCAGCCCACTATGGGCCAATTAATCAACAGATGCGAAAAGAGCGATTTTCAAAGGCAAGTTTCTTTGAATATTTTTGCCTCGTTTTGGCTGTTACTGTTTCAAAACTGAAGTATTAAGTGTGTAAGATGCAAAGAGCAATTTTCGGTTACAAGATTGTTGAGTTTTTCATGTTTTTGGCTGTTCCGAAACTGAATTAAAAACGAGGGGTTGAACAGAAGCATTTTAAAATGTCACGAGCCAGCAATGATTAAGATACTTTAACAAACATGAATATTGCATTCTTTGCTTACATATATAATACATAATCGTACACGGTTAAATGAACCAGAAAATGTAATTTGATTCAGAGTAAAATAATGTTTAATTTTCCCTGAAACATCGTCTTCTCCTACTACAGTGACTGATCTAAAATATTCGCCACAGCCGATGAGATAGTCATCAATGGAATCATAGATAAAAGGAGTAGACAATCATTTTATCTGTGGTGGAATGGAGAGATCAAATATAGCTCCTAAACCTAAAACACGGTTTGAGATGGAACGTTTCGAAACATGAAATAGTCTGAATTTTCCAAATCCCCACAAAACATCCTTGCATTATTTGACGCTTCTTGGGCTTCTAAGAGTTCCAATTTACCAAAACTAGACTAAGACACAACGGCTAGGGATCGATACAGACGTCCAAAACTTTAATGGGCAATCAACAAACTAGTTTTGAACATCATGGGAGAGAGTCACAGTTGGAGTTGTCCAGTCAAGTCAAGTGGCCTAGAGGGGAATGTGAAGAGATCAGCTGATTACAATGGACTTGCAGCACACCTGGGAGTTAGAACACCTGTGTGTCCCCCTCCCCTCCCACGCACACCGTGCTCCAGGCAGAGGTCTGACTGAGGCCTCGATCTCGGACTTGACCATCTTTGGGTGATTTTACGGGTCTTTTCTTCGAGGATCTAGAACGATTCTTGAGTAATAATTTACTGAAATGTTAATAAGCATTTGCGGGCGTGCATAAATTGCGTCAAAGAGTTCCTTATTTGCGCCAAGCCCAAGAAGGGTCCCAAAAACTTTTCCTTAGTTGCGCCTTGTCCCAAGCCCAAGCCAGGTAGGGGTGAGTTAATAACCTTGTTTACGTGTCATCCTAACCTATCCTAACCTATCTTAACTTAAATTAACCAAACCTAACCTAGCTTAACTTAACCTAACCTACTCAGTTCTATAGTCAAACAGGTCTGCAACTTGCGGCCCAGTTAATGAACTTATCGGGTGACTCCCTGGAGTAGTTCGCGCAATTCAGGAATACCCGACTACCTGTCTCACGTCAGTTGGCGCAATTAATGCCCCCCAAGTTTGCGCTACGCAAAGGTAGATTTTAAAACGCTGTTCTTGATAATATATAATGAGCTTACTAGAATATAGTTATATCTTACCTTTACACTGTCCCCGGTGTTTGACGGCCACCATGTTGGGACTGTCGTCTCTGCAGTGCTGTTTCAGCAGATGACATCTCGTGGGATATGTTTTATTGTCTGTACCACACACTGGACGTCGAGCTCTTTCTGAGCATGCGGCGATCCGTGACGCACAGTCCACCTGAAAATATGCGTTGTTTATCAAACACGCTTAAGATCATATTCTCGTCTGGAATGGCATTTTTGTGTTCATCCACATCATCCACACCATTGGAGTTTTTCCAAGGAATGGTCCAAACACTGATCTTGTCACTGTAAAGCATTGGCCTTACTGCAATTTTAGTACACAATCGAACTTGCGTGGAACCGAACCAGCTATCTTCAGATTTGAAGGATTTGACAACCACTCGGCTAACTAGATATATTGTAGGTTATTGACCAAATAATGCTGTGTCATATGTTGCCAATTAAAGCTATCCAACATAATATATTATAGTAACAATAAGAAGACCAGGGTTTTTGCAAAGACCGATCCCATATAAAAAACGTGAAAAGTACCCATAGAACACAAATAAACACATAGATATCTAATTTAAGCTCAGCTGATCAGCATGCTGGGGCTGACACCAAGGTTGCCGGTCAGCTGTTGACAGGTGATGGTTGATCAGCTGTTTATTATTCAGCCGAAGCTCCCGCGCTGGCGCCGGCTTTGGCACATATCCCATACTCCTACGTCCATTCCTGCGATGATTATAAAACTTCGGACTGTCCCTACGTGGGTAGCAATGACTACTGAACTAAATTAGACTTTAGTAGTCAGTAGTTATAAGTTATCGGTGGAGACGTGGCTAAATCCCTAGAGGAGTCGGAGCTCTCAAATCCGTTTGAATTAAAATACGATTTTAATAATCGGCCAATTCAGGTGTATTTATTTTACCAAATTGTCTGGGAAATTTGGAAACATTAAGACCCATCCCGCAAATTACAAGAACCGTGAGATAGGGACTTGCTGTCCTAAGCTATCAATCATGCTTTCTGACAAAAGGTCAAATTTGTAGTAACGGGTATGGGGGGTTGCCTGGTTCCCTTTCAATCCAAAAAATACTAGTGGTGTCAAATCGCATGAAACAATTATTTGACGCTACTTCTGTAGGTGGAATCATAAGATTAAGTGAGTGTGATTTTTCTACATCTACTTAAACACACCCACTTATAGTTGACTACGCCCATTTACCTGTCAAGCTATCGTTGTATCTGCTGCTGCGAATGGTATAATGGTATAATAACTGTGATTTGAGCTATTATATCAAAACGGAGATAGGGAATCTTAAAACTGATCTAGTTTAATTGTAAGGTCACCCGCATGAGAAAGGATAAGACCAGTTCTACACTGCGTTGGCAAAAACGAGATCTACAGACACGCCTATGGTTCGATTTTGATGAAATTTGCTATGTGGGTACCTCTAATCTATTGTATAACCTGGAATTTTTTAGAAAGCCATATTTTATGGCGATTTCTCCATAAAACCCACAAAATAACGGTAAATTCGATTTAACAAAAACGGGTCGAAAATTTCATTAATATTTCAAATTTTGTATGCCATAGACATCTTTAACACCAGACAACACGGTACAACCCCCATTGTTGCAACAGTTATGGTTAACAAGTTATTACAGCTTTTATGATTTTCCCTAATATCATAGTTACTCCAATCGCTTACCCCATGATAAGGGTTGTTGACAAGCTAATGGAACAAAAGTATGTGTCGGATTACTGGTACAGTTTATCTCGAATGTCCATTCATATACCAAGACTTACCACAAAACAAGGTTAATAGATCTATTGAGAAACATTTCACTCCCTAATTTTCAAGTGCAATAACAATTGATTAAGCATTTTGATACTTACAAAACATTGAATTGATTGAACAATTGATTAATTAATGTCGTTCACTAAGTCCTTGTGTATCACAGGTGGACCTAAACCCCTATAATGAGAATACAACAATTGAGCTGTTATTACTATGACGTTGTGCGATTTGTGTAGAGATATGGAAGCGTGGAATAAATCAGTAAAAGGCAGAGACGAATGCTTGTTGGAATGAAGAAAATATATTCCTGGACGTGACTGAAATGGAATGAAGATATTGATATGACGATCACGGAACTGATCTACTTGTGGAAAAAGATTGCAATCACACTGGACAAGTACAAGAGTAATAGAAATATACATTACATAATAATTGTCACCTGTTGAACACGCATGTTCAAATATTTGCATTTTCAGAACCACCACAAAAAGTGCAATATTATTTGATGATTGTTAAATATATTTTTTATTTGATTGGCACAATTAAATAGATTAAGGAACACATAAATAATACATAGCTGCTGCATTCGTGCTTTTCAACGGAAAGAAAATCCAGTTTCGAAGAACGGGTGTCCCCTCTATATCATAACATATCTTGATAGCCTAGTTAATACTATCTCTGGGTTGATACAGCAAATGTTATAAAACCTTTTTTTTATTTCCATAATCAACGACATAGTTTTAGAATACATAATCATGACAAAGTTTTAAATAATAAATAAACCTATCAGATAGAGTTGTGTAAACTATTATATTTAATAATGTTTGGATCAGCTGTCTGAAATTGTGAAACAAGCATTTGACGGTTCTGATTGTTTACATTGAAATGTCAACACAAAGGTAAACAAAGGTTGTAAATTTTCTCATGCCCCCATTTTTTGAAAACCTCACCTCAAAACTTTAGACTTTAGACATCCAAGGGGCGCAGCCCGAGAGGAACGCAGGGAAGTAAAGCCTATGACATTCCTGCTAGATGTGGACTATCGGTGTGTTTAATTTTGGCTGTATCAGTTTAGACGTGACAGCCGCACAAACAAACAGACACCACATCAATTTTATCATAGTATAGTTAGATATATAGTATCGATGACATGTAATTGTTCAAATACGAAAACTAATATTAAGGACAGAAACATACTATTGTCTTCAGCTTATCATTAAGGATGCAAAATCTATAAGGGATTATGGTTTGAAGTCACACAGGCTTAGGTTCACGGAATTTCACTGTGTCTTAAATCTAACTTTTGTTTAATTTTGCAAACCATGATAAAAGAAATCATTCTGATTGTGAGACCAGAGGCAAACTTCAGAAATCCGTATATGAGAATCCCAAAACAATAACTCTAATCTGATGAAACCACGGATTATTTTAGATCGGCAATGAACCTTAGGGCTATTATTGGATCCATCGACCTACTGCGTGCTTACTCTCTGTCTGTGGTTGTTTTATACTCTGTGTCGATAAATTTGCAACTTGATAAAGACTTTCCGGTCAGTCCACTCTGGCGCCACCGACGTCATAGCTTTCCCTTTCTTACAACTGCTAAAATGTCTCTGGTTGAATTTTTACGTTTATCTCTTGGTTTTCTACGATTTAAAAAAATCTTCCGCTTGAGAAATTCGGATTATTTTAGACATCAAAATATATTTTACTTGGGATTGTTTCTTCTCTTCTCCGTTACAACCAATTAATAGGCGTACTCCCGGCGCTGCAAACCTGCAGACTAAGTGAATTTCTATTTGTCTGATATTACTTTTACTAAAGTATTTCCTTTCACATGTCATATTCTTATTACCTATTGAAATAACATTCGATTAAACGAGTACGTATGTTTGCTATTGCTCCTACAGAGAAGGGAAAAGTTCTTTTTGGTAAAATAAATTTGTCACTTTTTTATATAGGCTTAAGTATATCCATAAACACGCAAACTACAAACGCATTTCTTCACAATAGTAACATGGTAATTTTAAATGTATAGATTTCTTATTTCCCCCGTTACCTTAATTTAAACAGCAATGTTCTAAGAGTACAAATTTAAAAACCCCAATTTTGTTTCTTACGGTAACATTAGTAGTTTCTTCCCAATAGGGTAAATTCACTAAACTAAGTTATTTGAAGAAAATATTATAATGTATTGGAACACACAAAACTTGTAATATACACAATCTACTTTATAAAACAATATGGACATGCAAACTGGATAAATTGTAGAAATTGCCATGTTAAGCTGATGCAAATGACTTGAGCCGAATTTCTAACTATGTACAAACAGTCAACAGTAGAGTAAATTTGTAAGTCAGAATGATACTCGGGGAGCGATCTGGAAGAAAGTTTGGCTTTAGTCCCGAGGTTCCGAGTTCAAATCCCGCCAATCACCTAAAGGCTTTCTGCCGTAATAATACCGCGACCCTCTAAACGTAGCCATAAGTAATTTTAAAAGCTTTTCCTAGTTAGAGCGTAGCGACGTATGTGAATGTATATGGAACATAAAATGTCTTCACAGATACTTGACATAAAGACGTCCACTGTATGTACATGTTATATGTATATGTCAGACGCCAGCTTGCCCAATAAACCTTGAGGAAAATCCGTTTACGTTTAAACTTGTGTACAGAGCGATAAATTGATATTGAACGTTATATGTTGCGCAACACTCTTATTGTAGTCCTTGGAGTAACTAGTCTAGAGGAGGACACGTCCATCAAGTGACGTAGCTGTTATTGGAGGGAGTTATTGTTGTCACAGGATAGGCCACAAAAGCATAAGGTTAGTTGCAACAGTTGATTAGGTTAGTTGCTGTAGCAGTGACGAAAAAAGGTTGTTTGAGATAAATGTAACGATTGATCCAGTCAATGAATTGTTACAGATTTTTACGAGTGTATTTATGTTTGGGTGGATAAGGCTCTCGCTTAGTTAACATTTTGCCGGCTCGATCTTGAGAAAGTCTGAAACCTTTTACCGTTCGAAACACGATCCTGCTGGTCTTGATGAGTGTTTTTTTATAAATGGTTCTTACTAAATCTGTAACAAAGCTGAACAACTCACACCATTGAACAATTTTTAGCTTTAGCATTAGCAAATTGAGATGGATATGCAACCTAGGGTAGGTGCGTATTTTTAACCCAAATATGAGTAAAGGGTGTAGAATGGTGTGAGATGATCTGTGTAGCTTTGTTAATGACTTAAGATCAGCTGTTTCATCAGTCAGGATAATTTGATCAAGAACAGCTGGGCCCAATTTCGAACCATCAAAATGCTACTACTTTTCTCGCATCGAACCAGCAACCTTTTAACTACTCATACCTATCTA